AGACATTTGATTTTGCTGAATATTTGCAGGCTTCAATAGTAGTGCAGTCCATATAAAAACATGTAATCTTCCGTATGATATCGTGGAAATAGCGATACTGCTGCAGTACTAAGCTGTATGCCACATTGGCTGGTATTTCCGTAACATAAGGTTTGAAATCAGCATTCACAGTGCTCAAGCTAGCCTTGACAATTTATCAGTTAACTTAATCTGAAGTGAGAAACTGAAGAGTTTCAGGTAATTTTCAGGTTTCTCTCATTGCAGGACGGCGTAAAAATTCACGGAAATGGTGATTTGCGAATGGAGAAGAAATTTCGAATATGGAAAGGATCTGAGAGCATATTGTGTTGTTGGTTAGCAATTTACGGAAGCGTCGAACTTACTAGGTACACCGATGCCAAGATCGATCAAATAGTAGTCGTCTGAGATTGCCATGATATTCTGCGTCCTTGTTATATTGTCCTCACCGGACAGCATCACGAAATCATCCCACAAATCGGCTCTTAAATCCACTTTTATCTTGTTGAACGATAGCAATAGTCTTGCAAATTCCTATCATAATACATTTGTTGAAATAAAACTCGCTTTCAGATACAGGGGCGATTCTCAGCATAATGTTTAGTGTGAATGAAATATGAGATAGCAACATTATGATCCGAAACATATGCTTACAAAAGTAGTTGTTGTCGTAGTGAACCAATATTTTGTATCGGCAATGATATCGGCAGTCCAGAGCATGCATTCGTAACCAATAGAAGTATCGCAATAAGATGCAAGACTGAAATCATTGCATATGGAAACTTGAAATTGCAATTGGTATCGCCCAGTGATTGCCTAAAATGCTGAATATTTTAAGTTATATGGGATTTTCCGTATTGATAGCATGAGATCAAAATGCAGCATCAACTAGTTTCAGCTTTAAACCACCGAAAAAGAAGTTGAAAATCGAAAAATCAAAAATTGATTCTTCAGAAAACTATCGAATTACACTTTAATCGACTAATTTTTATTTGCCATTCTCGGTAAAACGCCCGTAAAACTGGTTTCGATCGATTATTCACGCACGATGCTTTAGTCATTTCGCTGAAACATGAAACAGTGCAATTGTGAAACCATCAACAATTGATGCGACTGTTCCGAAATGAACTGGAAAACGGGAATTTAACTCATTAACAAGAAAAATGTTGAAATTGGGTGATATACACTGAATATCGAACAGGCGGCATCGATACTGCCTGTAATCGTGTTTTCATTGAACGCTTCATTACGACTCACGCTTATTCTTCATTACGACTCAATAAAAGTTAAACGAGATCAACTTTTAGTCAGAATATCTAAGCTTATGGACTTGAATCACCGTATGTTTCTCTCCCAGATTCTTGCCGTTGAATCGCAGTCTGCTTGTAAGATTCAACAGCATGTGTTCTGCGATAGAGCATCAACAACTTGTGCATGCATGATCAATTGCAATTCGACTAACATTAAAACACTCTTCAATTTGAGTTCCTCATTCAGGATTCTTTATTCAGATAAATTTTTGGCCGTGACCTTCTAAATGTACTCATATCTCGCATGAAAGCAAAATTATTTCACTACCGCTGTTTTCATAGTGTAAACTGTAGTGATTTAAAGATAGGAGCAATGACGCAAACTGTATTTTGAGAAAGAGTATTTTATTATTTTCTATCACATACACATCTACTCAAAAATTTAAACAGAAATACAATAAGCGCAATGAAAGCGAAAATTAATGGGATTGTTGGATCGAAGTTGTTGTCGTTTTCCAAAGTTTTGATAATTTTAGGTTTCGATTGTGTGGTGGACATCGGTAATGAAGCCGATGAAGTTATCGTAACTGTTGTCACTTCGGTTGAATTTTGAAATGTTCCACTGAGTTCACTATCGCTTGTTGAGTTGGCTGGTAGTTGAAGCGAGCGGCGTTTCAGAGCCTTCTGCGTTGGTTCATGGATGCGTGAACTCGAATTGGAGATGAATTCGAATTGTTTCTGCAGTGTGCCGTACAAAATTGAGCGATGACCGATCCTTCCGAGTACATACACCTCAGAAGCATTTCTTAGGCTAGCACATTCTGTCCCGCAGCATCGTCGCCCAATCGTATGGTCGCCTGTACTGTAGATGGCCAATGTTCGTTGGCCTTCGAAGTGACCTTGTTGGGCTCGCATTTCTTTCTGAAATTCAGTCTTTCATTGGAGATTGTCCGTTGTAAATGTTAGTGAACAAATCACGGAGTTCAAATAAATTTTGAACACCTGCACATATTCCGTTAGGGTTACTGTAATTCTTTATGAATATTTTTTAAGGTAAACAATAGTTCTGTCATTGAGGCATTTCTTGCTGTTAGGTTTTTCACTTTCTCGTGAATTGTTCATTGGAAATTNCCGATGGGCAGTGCTCAATTCCATAGTTTGCACCTCCAACACTGATGAAACTATGTACCTGTAAGGAGTAGTTAACATTTACAGCAGCACAACTCCATAGAATCCCTAACATTTTCGATGAATAATTTTCAAGATCGTACAATACCTCACAACAGCTTTCAAAACCGGTTAGAAAGTTTGCCGAATGTTATGAATAAATTTTGACCCAATTAGCTCTTAGATTGATCTTGCTCTTCAAAAAACTCTTCAGCGCTCTTCAAGAAGTTTTCAAGCTGAAAAAGCAAATATCTCGATAAGAACTTCATGTTCGTGATAACAAGCTCCCTACCAAGGAGGTTAGAGGTGATCCGACATTTTCACTACTACTGTCAGGACATTTTCCACCAAGAATTGCCTTTCGAGCAATAAGTGCACCACCAGAATAAGCCACAAGATCAACAGTGTTTATTGTGTATTCGGCAACCGCTCTTATGAATTGATGGATCTGTAAGATGAATTGTGTATGGTTTTGTTTTGCAATAAGAGGAGTATCGCAATTGTACGAGTGATTCAAGACGTTCAGTTCATTGGCATAACACTGTCTGAAAGGACTGCTTTCTATCATCATCACACAGACAAATTACCTGCCTAAACGAGTCGCATGAAATGTTTATATTCCAAATGTCATCCACGCTTGGATCGCCATAGGTTGTTGCGTACAGTTCGTTGCTTGAATATCCATGATCAATGAAATATTTGCGATGTGATGCGTAATCGGCTGCTTTTCCGCCAAGACCGTGCACGAAAACAACTGGCTGAAATAGAACCCTGGTCAATTTGATGGTCTCATTAAACGATTATACTGAATCGTTCTTGGTAATTTTCAATTAGTTTTATGTAAACCTCTTTTTCGATGAAAACATCAACGAAACGCTGTTTATAATAGTTTCTTAATAGGAACTGATTTGGGTGATTAAAACATTTGATCATAATGAACGTGCAATTCGATCGACCATAATGAGAAAATAAACCTCAATTACAATTGTCATTATAATTGCGTGAGAGAAGTGAATTGTTAATCAGCAAGAGCAAAACTGAATTTATTGAAATTGTACGAAATTCTGCAATTCTGCATTCATTTTCAAGGACGTAATGCCATCTTTTGCAATATAGTCAATGAGAATATATGAAGAAGACACAATATGTTTAGATTAAACAAAGTTAGCTCACGCGATGTTTCAAAACATCATTTGCCTGTGTCTTCCCACCGAAACTTAATCCGTCGCTTTTTCCCGTTGATATAATTTTGACATCGAGGTCATTGCGTTGAGGTGATTTCGAAAGCTTTCCGTGTAAATTCTTCTCAATGAATGATGAAAAATCACTTGTGAACGAGCACAGAATCATTGGTAGATTGTTGGCCAATATCAACAATAAAAATGATCGCAAAACAATTTCACAATATTTGCACTTGATCATCATGCATTTGCGCTTCTACTCGGTTTGCAATCCTTGAACGAGGTGGACAGGCGAGTCTATCATAAGATTATAAGGTAAGATTGCGAGATTCATAAGCGAATCGGAACGATTACAATACGTGATTGCAAAACACAGCGCGTTATACGGTAATGAATGTTAGATGATACAAATATTACGAAATGTTTTCTAGTATTCTTTGAAATAATTCAATAAAGAACAGGAAAAGTTAGTGTTGAATGAACGTTTCCAATCGTACAAATTGTTTTTCGAGTCAATACTAGTGAAGCAGTATTCAGAATGTGACAAATTGATTGCAGTATTTTCAGTCGCTCTCCGCGAATCAATAGTAAACAAAATCTGGTATGACAGAGAATCTTTTCGTTAATGGAAAGGACTAGTGTTTTGAGGAAGTAATTCTCAGTAGTATTGTGAAGCAAACGGTTCGGCAATAATGCTGGTTGACTTGATGAAATGAAGGCAAATGATATCTGATGAGAACTGATAACCTGTTTGGAAGTGGTTTTGGTTTGGCATTGACATCGTTTTTATAAATCAATGCGTCGTCATTATCATCAACAGACAATTCATTTTTGAACTCTTAATTTCAGTAAAAACAACGCTGAAAAACAGCTGATAGCGCATACTACTGTAAAGTGATATTGCTTGAAAAAATTGTTTGCATGTGAAAGGATCAAACATCAACACGCAATCAGTAGAATAATCATGCAATTGAGTGTTTTGATTATTTTAACATTTCAGTCAAACTCCAAAACGAGTATTCATTGCTTGAGCATGTTTACGATATGCAAAGTCGTCTGGTATGCTCGTTTGAACGTGTTGCTGCCGAGCAGAAATCACTTGCCTAGATGAAAGCAGAACGTATGAATCTCAAGAATTTGAAAATCATAGAGCAAAGTCCGAAAGTCCGCCAGCTACAGAAGCATCGCAGCAAGATAGAGCGTCACATTTGGTTCACATTCCATCGCTTGACTCATTGGTCAATAGCTCACTCCAAATCAGTTGAAACTAGAATATTAGTTGCGGCTCTGGAACTATTCATTGTCCCCAAAACATATCCAGGGTTCTGATAGATGATTAATCCACGCATAAGAAGGCATCTAGACATGTTGGCATCATTTTTTCATGCTGTTGCATTCCTCAGATTCTCTACTTCCAGAAAATTATGTAATTTATTTCGCAATTTTGCTCACGTTTAGAGAAATAGATAATTTTCTGGATAGATCCCACGTAGATCGGCGGCGATCATTTCAATACACTGTATCTTAATTGATCAATCAGCACATTACGTTAGCAGTATCAGGGAGTTGCCATCTTCAATCAATCGAGCATCAATCGAGCTGGAATGAGGTACTGTATGCAGTGAAACACGAATCAGCTCAATAGCTGTTGCCATTATGTTCTGACCGCAAAATGTGTTACTACTCGATTTCCAAGCACCATCATAGCGCTTTTTTCTCAGAAGGAAACCAAAAAACGAAGCAATTACAACATTGTGTTCCGCT